ATTCCTTATGCCAGATAAATGCATTTTTAGTTAAGCTTTACTAAAGAAGGAAGAAAAAAACCAAAACAAACACAAACACCCAAAGCCAAAAAAAAAAATCTCATTTGATTTTGTTTACATTGAACTTAAGTAATATAACACAGTAGGAAATTGGCCCATAGCCCATTTAGCTATGACAGGTAAGACAAAATACAGAGCATCACATTTACCCCTTTCTCAATCACAAAATTTTGACTTACTGTGATAGCACAGGGTCAGTACTGGGGATGGCAGCACAACTTTTGTACCCCAAAACATTAGCATAAAAAAGAGAGAGTCTCACAGCATCAGGAAGATAGAATAAATAAATTGAGCATATCTCAGCCTGAAAGTAAAAAACATACCCAAATATTTAATTCTCACTTTCCTCAAAAGAAAACCCACAATCCATACACAACCCAACCTCCATTTCCCCAAAACATAAACTAATGCTGAGATCAATTTCCTAACACTTTAATAATACACAAGCACACACAGGGTTTAGGACAGTGATGAAAAATGTGTCATGCTTTTCAAGGTTGGTCCCACTTTAAAAAAATTTGTGTTTTCTGGCCTTTGTCCTCACCGTGGTCACCTGGAGAGAGAAATGTCCTTCAGGGGCACACTGACAGAGATCACTGCACACCCGGGCCCAAAGAGACATTGGGAATTTCAGCTGCCAGCACTGCTGGGACAGGCTCTGTTAGCCACGCAGCAGCTGCAGGACACACTGGGCTCCCAGTACTGGGGAAACTCTCACATAGGGCATTTCAGCCTCTGCAACAGTTCAGGGGAAGCAGCTGATCCCACTGAGTACCTGACCCTCTCCACCAGGTACTGACTGAGTTGAAAGATAACTGCTCGCTTTTGGGCAGTGCTCTTACACAGCAGGTTGTTCGCTGTCCCGCTATCCTGACAGGTTTACAAAGTATTGACCAGATGGCTAAGTAGTCACACAAGACACCATGAGCTGAAAAAAAAATCACCAAAATTCCAACTACAACACCATCTCCTTCACCCTCCCTAACAAACAAAGAATTTCTACAGTTTGGGCTAAATAGGAACAAAATTCCATACAGTGCGTACTGGCAGATACACACTCTTAAATGTAAGAGTAGCAGATTTTTCTCTTAAATAAGAGAAAACAAGGATTCAGGGTAAGTATGACCAACTGTAAATGAAGGGAACAAACCTAGATTGACAGAAATTACAAAAAATAAAAAAAAAAAGAAAAAATAAAACCCCATAGCTCCAGTATCATCAAATAGGTGCTGCCCAGCCACCAGCACTCTGCCATGGCCATATAGTTTTTCAAGTGTTATTACACTTACAGAACTTTAAGGGATATTTGCAGGAGGCAACCCTGCTCCTGCAGCAACCTGAGCTCTGTCCCTGGCACTGTCTCTAAAGGTTTTGCTTTCAGCTACCCATCTGCAGCACGAGGATTTGGGATCAATAACTCAGCAGTACCTCCTCCTGCCTCCATGGCCACTGCTGCTCCTGGACCAAGATAGCATCAGCATGCACACATTTTGTAGTGGAGTCTTCCTGTCTCCAATTTCCACAGGCCATGAGTATGTCCACCTTGTCCGCAAACACTGATCTCCAGAACACTGTTTCTCAGCAGAACTATGCAAACTTGTATCTATCCTTTGAAGTGACAGTGGTTTTAGTTTTGTGGGGAGAGGAGATTGCGCTTCAGAAGGTGCTTTGTTTTTGAAAAAACAAATGTATTGATAATTAACAAAAAAAAAGTAAACCCAAAATTTCAATATCATGAAAAATGTATCAAAAAAAGAGCAAAACAGTATTGCTTAGTTACCCAAGTAAAAATAATGGACAGAAGCCCACACCGCTCCTGCCTGAAGGACACAGAAGCACCTACCAGCTGGTTTTAGGCAAAAGTCATCATCTTCCTCCATTTCACCTGACAAAACTGAACAGTTTACACTGGTAATGCCTCACCCACTAAAATTCTAGTTCTGCATTACTCAGGTTAGCCCTCATACCCTCTCTCACAGCAGTGCAGTCATTCAAGGAAGGAGTTTCACCAGCACGTGTGGAAAGCAGCAAAAGAAACTGGAGGAAGAAAGTAGCAAGAAATTTGAAAGGTATCTAGGGCACTGTGGATATTCTGTTCCCTGCTCATATTAGTGGCAATACAGCCTAGACTTGCACTGCTAGCCTTGAACATCTCAGCAAATCAGAATGATGAATTATTTATGACAAACAGTTTGAGCTTCGGACTGAGGACAGTGGAGGTTCCTGTTTTCTGCAGTGGCTGCCTCAGACGGTCTCTCCCTGTTCCCCTGCTAGGATATTGGAAGTGATACTAGGAACACTGCCTCAGTTAAAAAAACTGGCATTGTTTCACAAACCTTTACCAAACTTTAACCAATTAGGTGGTACTATTCCATGACAGCTATTTTCTCCGGATTATTTCACAGTGCAACTGCTAAATTAAGCTATTTCAAAGAACAAATTCAGTGCCAAGAGAGGGGAGGACATTTTGTACATGTCAAGACCTGATGATTTCCAAAGGTCAACCTGATCCACACTTCAAAGTGACAAGCCTGACATCTGGCCATGTGGCTTGAAATCAAGGATGAACATCCTCCCCCCAGCTTTCACATTACAGCATGCCCCAGCTGAAACGGTATTTATGAATTCCTTGTGAGAAGGAAAAGTGTCACGTGTGCCCCATAGGGTTGGCAGAAATCTGCAACAAACTGGCCATCATAAACCCAGGCTCAGGTGGTACTATTTCAGTTCTACACAAGAGCAGATCTGCTCTACAAGGGTAGTGTGTCAAATGGGCATCCGACCACTGGCAGCAGAAACACAGTACAGTATCCCATTACTCTCGGTAATGTTGCTGCTGGGTCCACTGACGATATAAAAAGCCAGAGAGACAATCATTATTTTATATTCTAATTACCTGCATGACAAAGGCCACTGCATTTTCCCAAATTCCCATTTGGCTTCAGGTCTACAAAATTAAGTCTTTGTTAAACATTTTCCAGAGGCCAGAAATCCAAAGCAGCACTTTGCAAATCAGGTCAGTGAGTCTTAGAAGTGCACATTTTTTAATTTTTTATTTTTTTTTTTTTTTTTTTTTTTTTTTTTTTTTTTTTTTTTTTTTTTTTTTTTTTTTTTTTTTTTTTTTTTTTTTTTTTTTTTTTTTTTTTTTTTTTTTTTTTTTTTTTTTTTTTTTTTTTTTTTTTTTTTTTTTTTTTTTTTTGTAAAATCCATCTAACTAGAATCCAAGGATGCCAAACAGGGTGTTTATACTTTAAGGAGATGTAATTTTTTACTTCCCATTATTCATGCACAGTCCCAAAGCAAATTTATAGCAAGCTCCTAAAAATAGCATTAATAATAGCATAGGGGCTACATTAAGACCCTAATTAAGATGGTATATGAATTTTTCCTGCTTGCATCTAAGATTATAGATTTAAGCTACACAGTCACAAGACTCCTTATGGAATTTATTTTCTTAACACCAGTTTGGGGAAGATGGTCATCATTCTTGCTTCCATACAAGGTGCTGAGACATCAAGTCAGAAGTATTTCACTACCTTGGTGTGACCTGTTAAACCATGTTTAGGGCCCAGTTTCTCAGTGGACACTGTAGTTCACAGCATAACTCCCCCGGACCTGGCTGCAGCTGGAAACACTCATCAGCTCTGAAAGTGCTCTCCAAGATGAGAAGTGAGGCACTGAGGAAAGGAGGAGTCTTCTCACAAGCATGCAATGGCTTTTCTGAGGTGAGCTTTTTGTCTTCACACAAGACCTTCTCAGCAGAAGCAAGAATGGGGGTCGGTTTCCAATAAACAGTGCAGCTCCTTCAGCACCAAAACCAGGCCTTCATGCAAAGTTGTTGCTCCCTATCCACTGCTCACCTGGCAACTTCGGTAACAAAACAGGATTGACTTATCAACCAGTGGCCTCTCTCTCCCACAGCCATGGTTCACCTGCAGAGTTAATCCCTCCTGCTGACACAGGGATAAGAGGTGAAAATTCTAACCCCAATTTTGTACCATCAGTCTCAAACACAACTTTTGCTCAAACAGGTTAGCTTTGAGAAACCATGCAAAATGCACTACAGTTGAAAGGATGTTACTAACAGCCTCTCTCTCTGCTCACAACAAGGTTGAAAAAGACACCACCAACTTTTCAGTAAGAGTTAAACTTTGATTCAACTTGCAACTTCGGTTAAATACTCCTCCCCTCAGAAGTTACCATACCTCAGTGAAATAAGTTTGTGTTGCTTTTTTCTGCATAAAGAGCTCAAAGTCTTCTCACTGGAAACAATTGCCATTTAACAATGAGTATCCTAGAAAGCTGCAAACAATCCTGATTTAACTGAACTGAAAACTCGTTATTACCGAAAGCAATCACACTCTAACAGTGACCAAAGCTTTCCTGGCAGAGCTCTCTCTCTGGATTTATCATTAACATCTACATCCTAACACTGCTAAATAATTCAGCACAGCATTTAGCCCTATGTCCTTGCCTCTCTACTCAGAAACCACTCTCACAGTCTATTTCAGCAACAGGGAGGAAAAATCTATCTGGATTGTGGTTCGTTCTTATGCTGTGTAACTGAGGGGGGAACCTCAGCTACCCTTTCACTCTCAGCATAGAAGTGTGGGTTTTATTTATTTTATTTTTGGGGGGAAAAAGTGTTTATTAGACAACTAAATATAGAGCGTTATTTATCCACACAGAGTCATGACCATGTGGGCTCAGATTCACATGCAAATTCCCCTTTTAATAATCCTAATGCAGGGAGTGCTCCAATCAGAGCGCTATCAGCCCCAGCTCCCAGATACCTGATGCCAGCTTTGCTGGTAATGTAGGCCACCGAAGCAAATCCAGAGAGATTGAGTTGGAAGTGGAGAGAGGCTCTGAGATCTATTTGCTTGGCTTTCCGACGACGAGGGGGTGTGTAACTTCTTTTTGTCTTTTCCACTATAAAGGGGATATCATTAAAGAGGGATCATTAGCTGAGAGCAGCCCAGCTGGGTCGAGGCTGGGAGGCGGGGACGCAGTTGCAAGCAGTGAAGCAAGGTGGAGGCACGAAGAGAGAAGACCAGATTAATGAAAGCATGAGGTGGCTCTTGGGCAGCAGCTTGAAAAAATTTGGACACGCTGACAGGGGAAACTATGACTGGCTAAACAGTGAACCAGGTGGGCCACTTCTGGAAACAGAGCTTCAGGTCTGTACCCCCCTGCTCATCTCTGTGGCATGTCCTTTGACTTTGCATGTGTACGTATGTCCGTGTAATGCCTCATGTATAGTGCAGAGTAAATACCTGGGTACTGGGACGTATCAAAGTGGTACTGCTCAATTACACAGAGTCAGAGCATTTATTTATTGCTGTTAAGCAATAAATGTTTTAAACACATTTGTGGGAAAAGAAAAACATTAGATAGGAAAATTCTGTTCGGGTGGCAGGTAAGAAAGTTTAGTTATTTCTTTTAAGCATAATGCATTTTGCTATTCCTTGATTTTCTTTCTCTTAAATGCATGTTTATGCTTTTGATCTGGTCCTGTGAAGCCTTTCTGCAGATGCTGCGAGTCAGTAGCAGGCAGCAATGAACTCTTGTTCCCTAAGCTGTGCGCTGATTACTTCTGCGAGAGAGGATCACATGCAGGCAAGTGGGGGGAGGGAAGTAGCCCCCAGAGATGAAAACACAGCCTGCCTTTCTGGCTTTGTCTGACATACAGTGAGAGTGTTTCTCTGATCAAAAATAATAATTTAAGGTGTACATACATCCCCAGTAAATGTACGAGTCAAGTAGCATTAACAAATGAACTGGCCACACTACTTAGCTGAGATATGAAGTGTACTGTTGCAAAATAAAAGCCGGTAGGAGTGTGTGTGGGTGTCAAAACAGGAGAAAAAGTAGTCTTTAATGACTCTGCAATTTTAACAAAATCTACTTTATCTGTAAGATTGCCAGAATTAGAGTAGCATTGGCAGTGTCTTCACACCTCAAGACTGGTTTTATGTGACAGTGGGAAACAAAGAGCATCACCAGAGTCACATTCCAACAAGTATTTGAAAATTCTGTGAATCAAGGCTCACTTTTAAATTGTGTCACTATTAATGTATACAAAACCACATCAAAATGTTTTTCTATTTGCCAGATTTATGTTTTTGCTTTTTACAAGCAATAATAAATCGGCTTTAAGAAGCTTGGAAAAGCAGCTATGGGGGGACCACAGCCTAATGACTTCAAAGCAGACTTTGTTCCAAATGCACTTAAACACTTCTGAAGTACTGGTTTCCTGATTCAACTTGAAAAGATACAAGTATAAATATGGGCTATTTAAATAAAAATAATTTTAGTAGAGTTCTAAGTACTCTAGCAATTCATTAACAACATAATAAATCTTAGCACCAATCAGTCACTTCAATGGGAAATTCAGTAAGCAAAATAAACTTTCACTTTTCTATCCTTACACCAAAGCTTTCTTTAAACTCATGTTTGGCCTTACTAGGTCATTCTCTCCCAAGCCAGGTAGTATCCCTCTTCTGTCTAGACACATGGTTCAGCTCCAAACCCATTCCATTACTCATCATGGATACACCACACAACTCAGCTCCACTCTGCATTTTATTCCTTTATCAACAGGCTGGAGTAAAAGCTCATCTTAGCTGATATGGGTCACGTAATCTGAAAGCTGGCAACTGTACATGCTCAGCATGTTAAAAAAACATAGGCAGACAGATTACTAATGAAAGGCTTTACTACTTTAGTCTGTGCTCAGTGTTTGGGAAAACTGACCCTCTGCTTCAGTTCCTACAACTATATAAATGAAAGGAAGAGAATAAAAATGAGCCTACGATGACCATACCATCCTAAGAATTAGTTCTGGGAAAACAGAAAACTTTTTCGAAACATGATCCCTTTTACTCCCATGCCCTTTTCTGCCTTTCTCTATTTTATAAAGGATATTTTCCCTGTATTTATGTGTCTGTAATTTATTTCATGCTGGAAGTCAGATTCTTATTTTTGTCAATTACAAACCTGACAACAGCTGCTTGTGATGACACAGGCAGAGCACACTGATGTCCAGTGAAGCAGCGTCCAACCAAACCAGTCAGGAAAAGACTGCCAAATAATGTCCTCAGTCACTTCATTTGCCGGGTTTGGAAACTTCCAGAGGTTAAACAGTAGAGGATCTTACTTCATATATGTTCTGCAGTTGATTTACTTTCATTTCAATCAACGAAGATTCAGTTTGATTTTTAGATCATTTTATTTTCCAGTTCTGGCAGCTATTCCTGTTACCTATACACAGTGCTTACTTTTATAGTTTTAGAGGTTAGTTTTAGTTCCATTTAGAACTTTTGTTATAGTTTAGAATTTCTAAGTAATTATTTATTTTTTTATTAAGTGACCCCTGATTCATTGTATTAAAATTATTTTCATTTTTTGTGTAAATTTTTTTAGAGCCCATGAGATTTTCCAAGTCTTTATGTCCAGATCTGTGCAACATTCTTTACTAGCCCCTTAGTCAGTCATAGAAGAAATGGGCACAAAACCATGATGGAAAAACAGGGACTGATACTGATCAGTTGTATCCCAATACATTCGATAATATATATGGATTTACCTACAAGAAGTTCATCAGCTTTCTGAACTACATCTCAAACTGAAATTAGCCCATGTAAAAGGCTTAGCAGAAGACAGTAACAAAATGAATTTATAAATCCCTGTTCAGATTCTCTGCATCTGTATTAACTTATTAAAAACTATTTCAACTCAAATAATACACTACGAAGGCTACAAATTATTTCACCCAGATAGAAACCCTTTGAAACATAGACTGAGGAAAACTGGGCCTTGCTGCCATCTGTTAGCATACAGAAAAAAAAGCATATTGCCCAATACTTAATCCTACCTGCCTCACATGCTATTATTTTGCAGATTGTAGTAAGACACACTTAATGTCCTTCCACAACTATACAGGACATGGTATTCATTTCATTACTAGCCATTCAGTGTGCTACTTTCTCCTCCCTTTCTCAGCATACATCTCAGGATCTTATTTACTGCATCTTCTTCAAAAAAACAAATTTATTATGTCTCCTTTTGTGCACATTACACAAGCGCCTGGTTGCTATCTATTCAGTAGTTATTTTGCATAGAATAGGATAAAATAGGAGTAATTCAGTTGGAAGGGACCTGCAATGAAAATCTATTCCAACCACCTGACCACTTCAGGGAGTACAAGAGGATATGAAATGCTTCATAATAACGTATGCATTTTTTGCCCAGATCCCTCGGTACAATAAAGTACTTGCAGGTTCAGGGCATCCCTCTTTCCCCTTCAGGTGTAGCAATACAGATGCATTCTAAGCAAGGTATAACAAATGAGTAACCCACAACAAACACCTCTGCTGAACTGTCTTTCCCTTCTCCTAGACCAGTCAGTAACAGAGGCAGGAAGACAGTTCGTCAGGACAGCATTTGCTATCCCGCACTGGGAGGCAGTCCTCTCAATCCCCCACTCTTCTGACTCAGTCACTACGTACCCTACCCATCCTGCAGCACAGTACCCTGAGGTATTGTGGTCTTCTTCCCTAAGCAATTTATCACAAACCTCAGTAGGTACTTTGTGCACAATAATGTAATTAAAAATTATATGCATTGCAGAACAAATTAAGGAATCATAGATTTCCAAAATGCTGGCATTTATTCAACCTTGAGAGCTTGATTTTGCAACTTTAGAAACAATGCTACAGGTTACTCCTGGGAGGCTTTTAGCCAGTAACCCACTGACATTCCAAGCTGTCCTTTTGTACCTATGTCACAGACTGTGGTCATCTGAGCTGGCTTATACTACAAATAGTTTCACTTCCTCAATTTTTTTTTTTTTTTTACCATTAGATGCAACAATAATATGTTTTACATATTTCTATTGATGGGTATTTCTTTACAAGGCCCAAGACCACTAGGTTCCAGTTAAGGCTTTGGAGCAATGTATTTCCCTGAGACCTAAGACTATTCATTAATTCCTTCTATCAAACTTAACCTTTTCTTTCCTTCTCCTGCCTCATAGTTTCTCACTAGCCCTTTCCTTTTCCCTTCTTATGCGAAAAGAATGGGACTGTTGCAGTCAGAGTGTTGTTCCTCAGATTTCTACTCTCAGTCCTATCCAGTCCTACTGCCCTCAGTCTTGGTTCCCTTTTGGCTTTCCTCCCCACAGTTTTATATCTTGCTCTTACAAGCCTATGCTCTCCTTCCACACTGCTGCACAATTCTGATTTTTACCCTTCTCCACTCTTCCCACCCCTGATGAGTTCACAGCTCCTCACTTCAGAAACATCAGTTCTCATCCTGTGCTTCAAATCCACATCCAACCCACCAATCCTTCCCATATCTCCCTGCCATCCCATGAACTCTCTGAAATCTAATATTTTTAAGAGGCCATGTCTTATAACAGGATGCATCAGGCACCCATAACACCAGGCTGTTCTTCCACCAGCACATGAAGGATACACCGTCCTTGACCAGTATTTAACACATGAATATCCTTTCAGTGAAATATATAGGGAAGATGCATCGAGTTTAAAGGATAATCAGGGCTTTATATACCTTTTACTAATCTCATGTAGGAAAAGCTGGCAATCTCACTCTCTGTCCTCACAAACCACCAGAATACTGTACAACTCACAGGTCCTAAGAACAGCACTTAACCTGCTCCCTACAAATGAAACTCAAAACTTGGACTTGGATCTCAGAAATTTGCTCCTCACTGATAGTGAATAATGCTGTCCAATACAAGCTCAGCTCTTCAAAATATTTACCGTAAGAGTATGGGTAACGTTAGTATGAGTGAGTCTCTGTATACATACTGCACAAATACAATACTGAATGTTTCTTTTCATATTCCCAGGAATTGTTTTCTACCCTTCATAAGACCCACTAAAAAAGCATTAGTGAACCTAAAGAAAAATCCCCTCATTTTTAAAAAAAAAAAATATTTAACGACTGAACTAAAAGAACAGTTGGAACAGTTTCTTCCAGCTCTGCTCTTTCCTGTAGCCCATTTAATAGTCAGGTAAGACAACAGCTTGTACTGCCAGAAGCTCTTTAATAAAAAATGATCAGTAAATATGAAAAGAGTTCTTTAGTATGCACTTTCTGGGTAAAAGACAGCTGGGGTAAAAAAAAGCTTAAAAGCTTACCCACAAAAGTTTCAATAAATTTTAAAATTACTTTAACGGGTCTGGCTTCAGACCCACAATACTTTAGGAAAAAAACAACAAAAAAAGAAATCTCCCCTATATTATCTGTTAGAAGTCAAAACCTATTTACTTTGTTTTTCTTAGGCAGAATTTTATAATATGACAACAAAGCAGAGAGGTTACAAATACCTCGTAGATAATCAGTTGAATGTAGGTTGCAGTGTGATTTTGTAGCTGGAAGAATTACTACAATTCTTGGAAGAATAAGCACAAAAAGTTTCTGTAGACTAAGAAGGGGGCACTGTGGTTACTGGCCCTTTTCACAAAGCCATTGCTGCAAACAGCCAGTTTGCATCTCTGCTTCCAAATGCTTTGAGGAAAGAATCACTCAATTTCTCCTAGCTTGAACAGGTACCTTCATTCAAAATAAAGGAAATCTGATCTATTGACCTGTTGAGTCTCACCATACAAATGTGAAAAAGCCATCTGGGAGCACTCTTCAGAAACTTACAAAGGGAATGAGTTGATAATAAATAGCATTATAAGGTTTGGGTTTTCCTCCCCCTTTTGACTGGACTCTGAATGAGATCCACTAATTAGAAGCTAGAGCAAGATAGTCATACTGAAAAAAAGATACATTAAATTTTAAAACTAAAGCTAATACAACAGAAGAGCACAAATGGCTTTGTTGGTTTTGTTTGTTGCAGGTTTTTTAGTAGCTTATAATTCCAGTTAACATAACAACACAATTAAAAAGCTGTGGGACAGAGGCCTATCGTGCTACATATTGCAGAAAATAAAGCTGACAGTAACAGTCACGACCGTTATTACTCTTACACAAGAAGTTCTTTTTCCACAGTTTTAAACAGGGGAAAATGATTCTTGGAAAGCTGGCAGAACAAGCTCAAGAAAGAGCTCCAGTTCAGGCCGTGCTAACACACCATGTCAAGGTCTGATCTGTAAGATTAGAACAACCCAAAGAATAGGTATTGTAGGTAATGGGCCCTGTTTTGAAGGGCTAGTTGTCATAACATTTGTTCTTTAAACAGTTTTCCAAACACAAAGAAACAACACTAGATGGTGCTTCGTCTGGGTCATCTGCAATTCACTGTTCTCACAAATTTTAAAAGCTTGACTAATCTCCCACAAAGTGGACTGGTCCCTCTGTAATCCAAGAGCAACAAAATGTCAGTGTCAAACAAAATTACATACACTTCCAGGTTGTTGGGGTTTTTCCCCATTGGATACAGGGTTTCCTAGAAAAGCATCATTCTTTCCAACTTCTCCATTTCTTTTGTCTCTAATTGCCAGTTGTTTTAATGAGTCAGCAAATAGAATTTGGCCATTCAGGAGTCTGCAAAATATATTGTTTGACTGGCATTAATGCAGACAGAAAGAAATTTGGAAAAGCAACTGCTGTATCATAAGGGGGGAGATGGAGAATACATTTTTGCTCTCTCATTAAGAGGTCTCCAAGAATCCAACACACTACCTATTTGCTTTGATTACAGAGCAGACAACAGACGAGTTCAACCAAAGACGACATAGAACCATTTCTGTGCATCATACTGCCTGCCACCATGATGCTCTTCCTGGCATTCCTGCTGCTCTTCCTGTACCGCCGTTGCCAGCGCCCCACTCAACAGGGGCAGATCTTCAGCATCGACCTTCCTGAGGCCCTGCCTGAACATGATGTGTCCAATTTCCTTTCTGCGCTGCCCTGGAACAGTGAACAGAGTTTCCACTACTCCACGCTGGTCCCTGATGCCACATTCCTCTCTGTGTGTTTGCCTCCATCATATGAGGAGGCCACCATGAAGACTTCTATGGAAGAGGCTCACACTGAGCTCTCTCCAGACCCAGTGCCTCCTTATGAAGAGAGCATACTGCAGACCAGCAGCGCCGAATAAACTTCCTATGGAAGCACCTTAGCTGACGCATGCAACCCCTCAAGCCACAAAGGTAGAACTGCTATGGCCTTTAAAACTTGTGAAAAGATTCCAAATGAGGCACTAAACCAATGAATTTATGCAGGAAGAAACTTGAAGTAACAGGGAATGACTCTCTTCACCTCATCCTAGGACTCTTTACCTTTCATTTGTGGCAAGTGTACGCATGGTGTAGCATCAAATCTGACCCAGACTGGCAGCATGGGTATTCCAGCTAACAAACATGTCATGAAAGGATTAAACTTAAGGAAAGTTGAGAAGCTGTTCCTCTGCCATCCATCAGCTACAAGGAAATAATGCTATAGATTCACTTATCACAAAAAGGGCTTTTAGCACATATCTATTCCAGTTTGGAGTTTTTTCTTTTTTATGTGTTTATTTTCAATTGAGTCTTTGACAAGCTTAGTCACTCTACCTGTGTGTATTAACATAACATCATTCTGCAGTGCTCTGGAATGATCACAACAACTCTCAGGAAAGCAAATAAATATATAACATATACAAAATATCCAGCAACTGTCCCCGAAGATTCAAACATAGACTGTGGATAAAAGCTGTCTTTTCTCACAGTTGAACAATGAGGACAATCAGAGAAGATCTGATTGTTCTGGGTGTGGAAGACTCCATACAACAGTCTTACAAGAGCACATTCATACTATTGCTGCAAACTACCCGCCAAGGTCTGCAAGGTCCCAATGTTCCAGACTACTCACTTGACTTCTTTTCCAATTTACAAGTCTAAAATAATAAACTGTGTGACTTGTTTGGTGCAGTGTGTAAAGAAGTTGGAAAAAAACCTAATAAATTCAAATGCACCAACAAAATCTGGTCTGTATTTCAAAGCAGCGTTATCACCCCTTCCCCTTCATCACTAGGGCAAAGTAAAGCTAATTCAAGTGTGCTGGTGGCAGTGGCTCAGAGGGTTTGCACGTGTATGCTTTTAGACAATGCTGCATGCTATCTTTAATTTTTTCTTAGAGGATAGCATTTTCACTATGGTGATAGATGCTCTTGTTACAGAAGGTGGCTACTACAGATCCTGACAGCCTCAAAGTTATGATGGCAAGCCACAGACAAAAGTAGTGTCATGGAATAGCTGACGCCTGCAAGCAAGAAACTATTGTAACAGCTGTGTGCAGTCTTGGTGTAACTAACAAATTCCAAGGCTGCCCTGACCTGCACTCTGTGATCTCAGCAACTGTCAGGAGGTGTCAATAACAGCCAGTCCTGTTTTATGAACTTACCACATTCCTTAAAAAAAACAACAAAACCAATAATACAATAATGGAAGAAAAAAATCATTGTTGTACAGCAGAAGAAAGGCCACTTTCAAGCTGCAAGGTACTTAAATTTCATGTTATGTCAACAGTGACACAATCACAGTAACCAAATAGTCCAGGTCAAAACCGATGTTGCCATTCATGCATTTCTCTTATAACAAGAAAAAAAATCTGCCTTTTATAATTCAGAAATGGGATTGTTTTCTTGAATTACAATTTTGAGATCATTCCTTTTCTAATGTTCCATTTTGGTCATCAAACCGCAGCAGCAGATGTTTTGGAAAAATCCAAATTCAATCAATCATTTTTCTTTTCAGACCGCATCTGGGAACAGTTTCTGTATTTGCTGGTGCATTTGAAAGTACTAAATTCCATTGTTTCCTTGCATTTCCTTTACCTTCCTAATATTTGGTACATGCAGTTGTTGCCAGCTACAAGGAAAACGGGAAAAACATATGGGCCCCAAACAACATACCTAATTGGAAAGGTACAAAGCTTTGAGGTTCAAAGCTAAGTCACTTCTGCCTCTGGTGTCTGTATATACCACTATCTTCAGAAAAGTTCTACAGATATGCTTGAAAACTAAGCCATTGTAATATCAAATGGAGTATATTTTGCCTTTAAAGATCTGCTGTGTTCTGAAATGAGTTGCACTGTTATTCAGCACAGTTTCTTGTTTACCCTTAACATGGGTAGAGACCGGTACTCAGCCCCTGGGCTCATCATTCTAAACGGCTCTCTAGTTACCTTAGTTACAATTAAGAAAACTTTTTGACTGCTTTCTTGTGACTAGGACTAATATATTTCTAAAATAGCTGAGGATTCCTATTCTCTGCAAGAATATCGAGAGTGATTGTGTTTCACATAGTATTTACTGGATAACTCTCAAATCCTGTTTTAGATAAACAGTTTCTGATTGTTTGCATTACTATAGACAATTAAAAACAGACACTTGCTCAATTTCAAATTAACAGAAATACTGCTATGACTTAAATTCTTCTTTCTTGTAGACTGCTTTTTATTCTATCTGGAATTGGTATTTCTTACCGTATTCCAGCACAGATTTTTCTAGTCTTGCATGTTAATTGTTCCTAGCAGGTTTCAACCTCAGCAGCACCTCTACTCTTAAATCCCCACCCCAAAGAGAAGGTCCACTAAAACAAAAAGAGAATGTTTCTCATGCAAACACATTGAAATTAAATCTCCATTACCTAGGAGGTACCTCTGCTCATATCAGATTGTGGTAACCAGTGTTACTGGTATTAGTGCTACTGCTTGTGGAACAGCTCTCAGGTCCCTAGGGCGAGCACCTTCTGCATCCAGAGAGCTCATGACCTGAAAGGAACTCATGCCTGGCTATAGAGCAAGCATAAGTGCAAGGGGAAGATCTTTTTCTCAGCTCCAGTAACCTGAAAGGTGAAGATTTTAGACTGAGGAAAGACATTAAGTTTTCGATTACCTAAAAGGTAACTGCAAACAAAGCAAAATAAGCACCCCTCATGCTTGCACCAATCTGAACTGCTGCTGGTGATCTTAAAGTGAAACAAGTTTAAGTCAGAAAAGAGATTTCTAAAAGTGAAGTGAGCCTGAAAGTGCACCAAAACACTGGCAACATTATCTCTGGCCACACTAAGAATTTAGACAAACTTATGCCCAGAATGATGAAGGCTCCTCATTGGAGCAAGGAATGGATTGGATGTCTTTCCGAGTCCTTTCTTGGTATAGCTAAAGCTATATCAAATCAAATTTTGCCCATAATTTCTAAATTTTGTATGAAATCAGATGGCTGGTTCTTTGAAAATCTGATACTAGGAGATTTCATACGCATCCAGAAATCACTGTAACGCTACCATTGTACTTTATAATCACAAAGTTTTTTTGTAGTTTTTTTTTTTTTTTTTTAGATCTCATATCTGCTAGTACACATATGAAGTCTTACAAGTTGTTGACTCTCCTAATGTGAGATTAATCGTGTATATACAATGCCTTGTTGTTATGGGAAACTATGGAACAATAGGGACTACCCCATTAAGGAGGCTTCAGAGAGGGCCATCTTTGTGCTTCTCCTCTCTGTGAGAGCTGTCAGAGTCTCTTACTGACAGGGATCCACTGCTCTGCAGACCAAGATGCAGATATACCTTGCACACATGCCAGTTACTTGCTCAAAAGACATTTAAAGGAAAGCAATGCAGGTAATTTATACAAAACAGTTCTACTAAATATCCAGTGACAGTATTCAGCATGCATCTCCAGTAATAATACAGTACTTTCACATCCAGTAATAATACAGTACTTTCAAATTATTAGAATATCCTCTCTCTCATTCCACCTGAAGGAAGGAAAGATGAGACAGCTCTTTGCAACCACAGTAGGAGCTCAGAAACCAACATCTTGGATAAAAATGATTCATGCTTGTGCATAGATCGATCATCTGGCACCTAATCTTTGCTGAGCTAAAAGCTAACTCATGACTCACTGGTTTTTACTTGCCAGTGACAAAATAAGTTTTTCAAAACAGGACAGTCATTTCTTGGCCTTGGCCTAGGAAAGACAGAATAAGCACTTAATTTCTCCTCAGAGAGATGCTCGTTTGTAACAAATACCTTGTCTAGAAATTTAGATCCCTCACTGAAATGGAATAACTTTACACTAAAAAAAAAAAAAAAAAGAAGCAAACTCTGACATTGAGTCAGAATATCTTTATGATAGTTTAACAATATCACAGTGAACAAGAAGGAACTGCCCCCAAAATACAACATTTGGCTTAATCTGCACTTGTAAGGATTTTGCTTGGGTCCCTATGCCAGCAAAGCCTCCAAATACAGACACACAACTACTTTTGCTAGTACAAACTCCACTAGCATGAACTATATGTGCTCTAGTAGTCAAATAACTCTTAAAGATGTAGGTTTTATCTATATTAGAAGGTGACTCAGCAGTCTTACTCTGGCTAAATACAAAACTGCAGCAACTCAGAAGCAGATTCACAGAGGAATCTGTCTTGCAGAGAGTGGTCATTGGCAAAGATGACACCTACTGCTGTCCAGTTTTAATTTACAGCCTCCATACATCTGACAGTAAGTACACCATTAATTCAGCTGCTGGTTCAATCAAGGGCAGAGAAGCTAATGGGTAGCAGTAGTAGTCCTTACAAGAGTCAGCTGAAGGACAAGAATGAAAAGCGAAGGCTTTCAAGGCACACCTTGTTCACCAGAAGAAATGTGTAACACAGCTCTTTCTACTTTCCAGTTTCTTCCTCTTGAAGGCCTGTAAGTTTTGCATCCTCCGGTTCCATTGCTTGCACCACTCAGAAAGTTATAACTTCAGATTAAATGCAATTTGTACCAAAGAACAAAAAATGATAGCACAATTTTTATATTATTTAAGGCAACTTAAACATTTGACCTACATTGAAACTGCTTGATTACAACCATTTTGAGAGAATTTAAATAGCTGTTTTCCATACTGTACAAAGCCTTTCTTCAGCTTTGATACAGCTTCCTGAAAAGCAAATTTTTCCCTTAGACAATATTATACGAAGGCAAGGATTCTTCCAATAGAAGGAATGACTTCTGTTCTGGGTCACAGTCAATAAAGCAGCAATAAATCTTGTAATGTAACTCAACACACTTTGAAGTATTTAAAATTACCTGTAACAATCAGTGCTTGATAAACCATGGGAAAGCAAGGCTTGGCATCCCAGATGTCTTCAGATGAACTATTTCTTGCACTGTGCTTTTCAAAGCTCACTCCCAAACTAACTTTAACTCATAATACTCATACTTTAACTCATTTTGACTGTGGCCTGTTTTTGGCAGTGCAATCAAGGGGTTCTCAGGACTTAAAGGAACCCTTATGCAACCATTATGCAGCCAAAATTTAACTTTCTTGGTTAGGTTGGCTTGTTTCAATGAGATGCTAGTGCTGCTCTTGACTTCCTTGAGGATTCCTTGACTGCTACCACCTGGCCTAGTCTTTCCAATCCCACAGGCAGCTGTGGATTTTATTGTGCCCATCTGTGAGTAAAATTAACTCTTTCCAGTCCTCAGTGAGGAGAAAGCAACTGAGACAAATAAAGACCATCTAGGGATAGGAACATGCGTTTTGTCAGGTCCGTAAAGTGCTTGGCCCACAGGCTTGTTACAAAACAAACAGCCTTCAGGACCAGTAGTGATCCTTCAGACATATCTCTTTGGTCACAGTGCTAGAAGCTGAGGAAAATGTAGCTGAGGAAAAAGGATGTGCAAGGTTTCCTCAGAAAACTAGTCCAGTGTAATACGATTATGTTGCACGGAGTCTCAGAGCCTCTTCTTTTAACTAGCTTTTCCAGACTGTTTTGGCCTCTCTGCGAAATCTGTCTGAAAATACATCGTTTCAAAAATACAAAGTGTCTTTCAGTTTCGTGGAAACTCAAGTTTCAAGGAAAGCGATTATAATAATGACTTCAGTAAAGTCCTGTAAGACACTGAGAAGACCCACATAGAAGAAAGGCTTTAGAAAGACAGTGAGTATGTTACTGCAGTGTGCACTGTGCAGTGCAGCAGAGGATCCAACAA